TGATTACACAGACCTATATCAATTAATTAATCAATTCAACTTGCCTTTTTTAACCCTGTTTGAGGGAACCCCTTTCTCTTCTGCCAGCGGTCAAACGCAACCTATTTCCCCCTAATAAATACTTTTTCAAATACTATCTAATATTATATTACTTTCCCACCATGCATGCCCCAATTTTTTATTTTTATTAAAACATTATTTTTGCTTTTAAACGAATTTTTAACTAAATCTTAAAAAATAATAATTGTTCCTATTTTCAAGGTTTGACTAAAATTTCATAATTATTTAAGAAAATAAATAAAAAGAAGTTTGTTAAGTAAAAAACCGTAGAAAAAAAAGTTCATTAATGGAGCCTTTGTGTAACCGTTTTTTTTTTTTTTAATAATAATAAAATAAATATAAAATAGGAAGATAAGTAGAAAGTGATATGATTATTTTTAGAGTTCCAAAATATTTAATATTTTGGTTTTTTTTTTTTTAAAACAAAATATAAAAGCAGAAACAAATTTACATAGCATGTTTAAAAAAGCACACTATACTGGCAGCAGCTCTATAAACAATATAAAAGTTCTGACATATTTAAACATAGGTTAAATTATGGTGACTATCCATATCATCCTAATTCTATACTATTAATATAAATTACTAAATTAAAATAGATTTTATCATATTTGTTTTTTTTTTTTTTTGAAGTAAAAAAAAAAAGTTGGCGACCAATGAGCGAAAAAAGCGGAAGAAAAAGGGTAGAAAAGGATTAATTTGGCGCTGTGAAAACAAATTTCATCCCCCCATTTTATGGCAAGTAATTTGGCAACTCCAACATTATTATTATTATTATTATTTAATTTTAAAAAGGAAAAAAAAAAAAAAGGGTTTGTGGAAAGCAGTGCCAGTTTTTGAAACGGTGTGTTTTGACGACGTTGGCATGCCGACCACCCTCACACCCTCCCGCAATTCCTTCCCACTTTTTCTCCTCCTCCTCTCCCTCCCCCCTAATTAAATCACCCTACCATCTAATCTTTCACCTATTTTACCCTTCCATTTTAACCATTTACTCTTTATTTTTTAATTTTTAATAATAACCCCTAAGTTCACGTCATATTTGTTACTCATTTCTTTACAAATCCCAAACAATAGGTGGAGTTAGTCTTGTTTGATAATGTATTTTCTCCTTCAACAACTATATTTATAATATGTTATGGAATCGATATTAAAGTATAAAATATAGTTTACTAGCATGGAAAACTGGAAATGCAATTTTGCGAGCTTCATAGGGCATTAAAGTAGAAGTCTCATAGGATTATATTTTTTACAAAAATGTTTGTAAACGACAAAATTTAATGCACATTTTTGGGTTTAAGGTAGGGATTTGTTGTGAGTTGAAGTTCCATTAATAAACAAATCATATTAATATTTCCATTAAGGTTGGATTTGGAGTTTAATTATTTGGAAATAGCTTTTTGTGTTTGATTATTGGAAAGAGAGTGAGATAGAGAGCGTCATATTTGGATGGAGGTGTTGGTTAATAGACCTACACAACTTTTATTTTTCTTTTGGGGTTTCTAAACTTGTTCATATGTTTAAAAACAATTATGCACCTTTTCATATAATATAATCTTCTTCTTGCCTTTTATTTTTAAAAGGATACTGTGGGTGTTTATGCCTTTTTTTTTTTTTTTTTTTTTTAATAAAAAAATTCATTTATATATATATATATATATATATATATTTTTTTTTTACTTTTACCTTTATTTTAGTTAAATGATAAGTTTTTAATCTTTTGTTTTGAATTTAATAGTCTTAACATTAAAATTCAAAGAGTTGTTAGGGGATAGTTTCATTCCCTGATAATAGTTTAGCTCTTCCATCGAATTTGAATATGGTGAGGATGGTTGAGAGAGAGAGTCCTACCTTAATTAATTAAAAGACGATCCTTGAGTTTATAAGTAAGTAATGTGTCTCTATTGATATGAGGTATTTTTGATAAACTAGAGTAAAACTATGAGAATTTATATTCAAAGCGGATAATATCATACCATGGTTTAGAATCTTGGTTCCTAATAGAATATTCTAGATTCCTAATAGAATATTCTAGATTCCTAATATGTCGATCTTACGTCTAACCTCTAATTTGAGACACTACCACATACAAGACAAAAAATCATAAATCCTTTCTCTCCATCTTTTGTTATTATTTTTGTGCCTCCAACTTACTTTAAATATTTTAATTTATGTTTCTGGTTGATTTTGACATTTTCCAAACTATTTTTCCGTAGGTAGTTTTAATGTGTCCCAAAGTCACACAACACCGTGTTATACTGAATAATGGTTTTCTATAATTTTTTTACAATAACCATCCTGGGTTCACTAAGTGATGAACTATGGTTGTGAAAAAAATAAAAGAGTTGACTCCCTAGTGCCTATCTATCTAATGATGGGTTAACCTAGTGAGGACCATGGGTTAGAAAAAAACATAAAAAGGTTAAATAAAATGAATTCACCCCATAGTATGTACCGACCTAAGATTTAATATCCTATATAATATAATAGGCTCATGAGATTGATTAAAATACGTACAAGTTTGTCCAAACACACAATCATAACAAGATAATCGATGATAAGGACCAACATAAACAAACATTGAATCTAAACACTGAAGAAGAAGAACAATAGCGCTGAACCTTTATGTATCATTTATGAGAATTGATACAATAAATCCAATCTACCTGTGACGTGTGAAAGTATATAATACGTAGGCAAAAAATTGCAGACGTGTTGGGCTGTGTTTGCTGATGAGAAGGGAGGAAATTATGGCGCTTACACTAGTTGGATATGCATGATTTGAGGGCACCACGGTGCTGGCTTAGTTGCATTTTTTGACGACGTTTCGCTTTTCTTAGGCCTATAGACACAAAATCATTTGAACCTATTCAATGTTGAAAGACAATCCTCTTTTTGTGTATTCGACATATGTCCATGTTCACGACAATCTTAAATTTGTGAACTTTGAGCCAAATCAAATAGATTTCACATATTTTATGGAAGAAGTAGTTGTGGAAGTAGACATTTTGGTTTGTGGGGGCAATTTTTAATGAATATTTGTAATTGAAATGGTATGAACAACCTTAATCTAAAAGTAAACCTTATAATGCTGAATCGGCTTTAGGTGTTCTCAACTGTTAAAAAATTAAATAGAAAAATGAAAAAAAAGAAAGAATCCAAGTTGGTGCATGTGAGGTTTGATATAACACGTGGTGTGAGCAGACAAAAGGAATGTGAACCTCCTCCCTTTGTAAGTAAGGTTTGTACAAAATTAATTAAAAATATCATCTTTTGTTTCGTAACTCATCCACGTCTCTCTCTCGCACATCGCCACACCAAACCAAATCCCTCAATCTTCAGTCCTACACGCTATATTTAAATATATAAATATAAATATATCCTGCCACCTGGATTACACGTGGTCGTATACTTTCAAAGTAACATGCTCCCATCATCTACCCTCTCTAAATCATAATTCAGCTGACGTGTAGCTTCATCCCCTAACTTTATTCTATATTTAGAAAATAATGTATGAGATGTATAGTATAAAGTGGTGGATCATAATTATATTTAATCATCATTTTTCTATGGGTATATTTATACACTTGGATTTTGTTTTGATCTCTGGTGTGATGATTGAAATTATTAGCAGTGTATTAACTATAATTATGAAATGGAAGAATGATTAAGAAAATAGAAAAAATAAAATAGGGAAAAAGAAAAGGAGAGGGGGATTAGGGCAAGGGTTTAGTAGGGTGTAATTAGGGGCATATGGACGACGCGTGCGACAACAACAATAATAAATAAATAATAAATCAGGAACTTTTGACCTTTGACTGAAGGCACGTGCGTTGCATCTTTAAAATTTCAAATTTATCTCGAAGGATTCGGTGACGCACGTGCACTTCTTCCCATTTCCGCCCTCTCTGACGCATTTCATTTTAATAGTTGTCTTAAAATCTTAAAAACTTTGCCTTTTCCTCCTCCTCCTCCTCCTCTCTCTCTCTCTCTCCTTTTATATTCTTTTTAAATAATAATATTATTCAACTATTATACATATATATATATACATAGAAAGCCCCTAAATTATTGTTTCTCATTTGGATATATTTCTAACTTCTCAGTTTTTTTTTTTAATATTTATAAAATAATTCATTTAAAAAATTTAATTGATAAATAGCATCACTTTTAAATCATTAAAAATATGCTTTAAAATATTTTCTAATACGACAAGAGTATTTTAAAATCGCTCTAAGCTTTGACCTAATTTGAATTTCAAAACTAAAAACAAAATATTTTGTTTACACATAATTTTTAATCAAACAAAATTAGGAAATAGGTATATAACATATATTAATATCTATGATCAATAAATATATTTCATTCTATACAAAATTCATTACACGTATTACTTGGGCATAATGAAAGTCTAGAATATTTGGAGTTGTTGGGAGTAACCCTGGTAACAGATCCTTTCTTCATATCCGTGCAACTTGGACAGGAACCAAGCGCTATAAGTTGGGCTTTAAGCCCATACCTATTTATAATTGGGCCTAAATGATCGATAAGTTGGGCTTTAAGCCCATGTGTATGATTGTCCACACGTAACTTAAACATGCACATGCTTTTCCAAGCATTTTCTCTCTCAGGCTTCCTTCACCCCATTTACAACATTTATTCAAAATCATCCCCTAAACCATAATAAACAATTCATAGAAGAATCATCACACAGTTTCGATCTAACTAAAACTAATATTCTTAAGCCTATAAAACGTCCCTCCGATCGTTTTCAGTGATCTAAATGTCTAGATCTATAAGAAAATCGCGTTCTGTATTGTTCTTCAAGTATTCTCATCCAACATGTTTGAACGATATCACCACTATTCATGTTTTAGAGATCCAACTTTAAAATTGGCCACAAGTGCCTCTTTATATACTACAAAAAATTAACTGAGGTATGCTCAAATTGGATAGAAACTAATTAAACAATGAACCATCCATGTTTTAACAATAGTGGTTGATACACTACACCGAATTTTCAAATCTTGTGAACCTATAAAACCTACGTATGTATTGTCATATCTAACCTTCACCACGACATGCTAAAACATCAACCAGAAGACCGAGCTTGCATCGAGATACACCATTTTCATAAACACAAACACTTTGACCAGCAAAACAACCTCAAAAACCTTTTTGGAAGGGAGTAAGTTGCTACCAGAGATGGATCATTCTTAATGTCATCAACGTGTGACCATATATACACTCCTCGCTCTTGTCGACTGCCTGGAACCGTGTTATCGAGAATGAGCGCGATAAAAAATGTCACGACCATGTTCAAGGACATGATGCCATTGAATACAAAGTCAAACTGCAAGATATCACACAGCTGGATCAGTGGAAAAAAAAAGCAACAGGGAACAGCCAGACAAAGAGGAACTTGATGTCAAGCTGTGGTGTAGAAACTGCTAGGGACATCAATAGTAGTGACTCACTTGTTTGTTTCCTGTATGGGTTGGTCCATTAGAAGCTGCAGCATAGGGAACCAAGTAACTTGGCAAAATCAAGCTAATTTCAGATTGGAACTGCTGAAAGTAGGCAGGGATTGACAAGCCAAGGAACAACGAGACGCCGACTATCGTCATGTTTCTGATACTCGCAGTTTGACTATACTGTAGTGTCGAGAGCCCCAATGCAACGATTAGAGCCCATGTAAAACAGAGGACTGAAGCCGCCAATGCCAGTGGTATGGAGGCAAGAACAGCACCAACTTTACCTACAAAAACATGAAAAACTTGTTGGTGTCCTCGTCAAAGAACAGCTATGCATAGGAAATCCTATTATTGATTGGTAAATACTCAAGAACATCTTTGATTTCCTGTGATATGATGGACAGTTTACCTATGAATGAGATAAATATCAAGAAAACTGCTCCGATTTCCAAGGCCCTTCGATTTGCCACTTTTGTTACATGAATCGTATGTACATTTTCTGTTAACGTTGTTGATCCAGAACCTGTACCCCACAGTCCAGCCAAGATACTGCAGAAACCTTCCAAAGCAATTCCTCTGCTAACAATTCCTGGAGTTGGTGGCTTTGAAGCAACACGCAAAGCCACAGTGTGATAAGTACCAACCTGAAAAAAGAGCATTTTTCTGGATCAGATGCCTGAGTGCAGTGTTCCAAAATATATCTATTCTTTACAATGATCAGGGATAGATATAAAGACTTGGGAATCAAAGACGGATAGATATTTGCTTTGAATGTACTTACAGAGTCCACTGATGAAACCAGAGAAACCATGATCATGATAATTGAAGTTTTTATATGAAAGATTGGCACACCCCACTGCAAAGGGTAAGGAATTCGAACCCATGCTGCAGTTCTCCATGCACTTGAAACATCAGTTCTGCAATGTTTCATGGTATATACGTGCCTTCTACACGCATCCACTAAGATATTTGAACTAGGAATATCTGGGCTGCAGCCTGAGAAATCATATGCTCCACCAGTAGTCAAAAAGAATGCGTAGGCCCATATAATCATGACACTAAGAGGAACCTATCATCCGGAAAGAAGAACTTAAGATCAGTGGTATGGAAAAACATTAACTCCAATGCATCATACTTTATAACAAAAAGCTGTTATAGGGAAATATCATAAAAAATCCTAAATTGTGGGAGTTGTATAAATAAAAACTCTAAACTCATAATTGTATCAATTTAAGCCCTCAACTTCCGAAGTGTATCAATTTACACCCTACATTAGACTCAATTTGGAAAGCTTTAGTTTACATTGTGCAATCTTATAATTGTATCAACTAAGCCCCTGAAGAGTGAATCAATTTAGGCTTTCAATTTGAAAATCATTTGTACATCAATTCTTACCCGCGTATAGACTTCTAAAAATTCTAGGCCTTCTATTTGAAAATCGTCAATTATTTGAAATGGATGGTCTAAATTGGTTCACTTATGAAAATTTACTAGTTTAATTGATGTAACTATGAGTCCGCACATGGTAAACTAATGTTTTATGAGAGATGGTGTAAATTGATACATTTATGAAAGTTTAGGGTTAAAGTGATACGACTTTTATTGAAACAACCTCCAACGTTTAGGGATATAAACTAATTTTTGCCCCTTACTTTATAAGAAACTGTATATTTTAATCACATGGACAAGGCATAGGGCAGAGGGGCACGAACCGATCGTAAATGCGTAGAAACGTAAGACTTAAAACTCAGAAAGAAATTAAAAACAACTAAATTTAATTTTTGCCCCTTATTTGAGATCTAACAACTAAAAAACTTGAAAACAACAAAAAAAAAAAAAATGCGTAGAAACTTAAGACTTGAAACTGAATAATTAAATCTAATAATAAAGTAACTTTAGAAACACAGAGCTGAAGAAAAACCACAAATCTCAACAATTTCTTATGAATAATACTAATAATAAGGTGGTAGACGAATTCGTGGAACTTGTTGCAAGTCACCATTCCTCAAAAGATAAGATATACATACCGCATAAACTCTGAATACACGATGGCCAAGTACGGATACTCCTCGGAGGTACTGCAAATGCAAACACAAGCAATTACTTCTTTGAACAATTTCAGTGACACTTTTAACATGTTAGTCACTAGAAACATGTAAACTGTTCGGTAATGCTAAAATCTTGATGAATTACTTCGTATAATTTTGCAACCGGTGAACAAATTGCTCAGATCTGAACTTTTAGCAACAGACAACTAAAATGGTTGGTAATTGCTTAAGTTTTAACACTTACCAGGGTAAATATAAGAAGCAAAACTATCTGCGGGACGCTGATCTCCACACAATTACCAGCTTGTGGAAAGCCATAGCTGAAAAATGCTAAACCTACAGCAGCAACCGTGGGTGCAACCACAATTGGGTTTATCAACCTGCACATTATGAGAGTTGAAGAAAATTTTTGCTCAGTGATGCAACAAAATTGTATAGCATTTGCATATATTAGGAGGAAGGAGCTTAGAATCAAGGCTTCGTACAAGCCTTGCAGTGTAACACATGACATCAGAAAAACATAAACAATAAAAAATGATGAGATTATCATCATTGTTAATCAAATTCGGACTTGAGTTCTTTAGAGATACCTAGTATTCCTTCACGTTCGACTAATTTTCTAGATTATGATAGGTTAGAAATACTTATCTAAAATTGAAATTGGGAGGTAGAGACTAATTTAACACATGCTGCAATTACCTTGGCTCATTAAAAACAATCTTCAAACTTACTAAGGAAAACTGTTGGGTAAGTGATGCTGAAAAGATATGCTTCATAACATAAGGAAAGTGATGGATAATGGAAATGATGCCCTACACCATATCGAAACAATTTGCAATAATACCTAAGGAAAAGGGTCATTAAACCACTGAATCCCAAAATGCTTTGAAATATTGAACTAATAATTATTGCTCCCTGCAGTTCTCTCATTATATGCCTGAATTTCTGCAAGAAAAGAAAACCACAACTTTAACTATAAAAGAAAAGTGAAAGAAAAGCATTGCAGAGGACCAAATTCCACATCACTATCCAAGAACTCCCCACTTTCATAACAGCCTTCAATTTAACATGTTTGGAACAGATGAGCGATCTTTAAGTAAACAGGACAAAATTCAGTTCTGGGAGCTTACATGTTCCGTAAGATTGCGGTACTCCTGAGCATTCATGATAATTAATGCTGGAGCCAAGAACACAAATGAGCTTCCTTGAACTAATGGTAGTCGGGTACCGAAGCAGGAGTGAAGGATTGTTGTGATTCCCGAAACCAGTAGTAGAGTTGAAATTACTGTAGCTGTATCTTTCTGTCATTTTGGAAAGAACACATGATTGAGCACACACGCACATTCTGATTTCATTAAAAGTTGGAAAAAAACTTTGGTGTCCTGTCTCTTCCTCAACATTTTCAGTTAGAACCAAAAAATGACATAAAAAAGATGCTTACATCCGTTCCACCCATAGCAGGTACAATGATCAGGGGTATGAAAACAACTGACCCAACCAACGACAAATAATGCTGAAGTCCATAATACATTAATGGAACTGCAAAAACAGTCGAGCAAACATAAGGAAAAGCTACAGCTATATGGTGAAACATAGCAAGAGGACTTGTAAGGAAGACATAGATGATAGAACAATATGCTTCCATGATCATAATTATGTCACCGACAAACATGAACTGGTTACTAGGCAGTAGCACAAGCTAATTATGATTCCATGATCTTACGCATGGTTTGTATGGACTGCAGAGCCAAGGATCAAGCACACCTTCTTCCTTATATTTAAATGTTTACATTCGAATGTAATCGCCTAATATTATGCCAATAAATTCATTATGATGCACTAATTATGGTGAAAATCAACAAACTAATTTAAGAAAGAAAACAATATACGAAATTTGTAAGAGATTCAAGAACGCTAACCGTAACCCGGATTTTCAGTTGGTCCAAGTTTCATTCCTGAAGGTCTTAGCCATCCTCCTTCAGTAGCTTCCCCTTCATCTCCATTCACATTGATATTCTCATTTCTTTCATCTCTATCATCTTCCCTTTTAGGTTCAGTTGCAGGAGTAACCACAGAGACCCTCCCATGGCCGATTCCATGAACATCTCCATCACTGTTCCTGTTCATAGCCCCATCCCCTTTCTCTCTTCCTTTACCATTCGTCATTTCTCTTTCATCCTCTTTAGCTCCTCCCATCACATGTTCAAGCCCTATCCGTCTCCTTTCTTCACCCCTCACTGCTCCATCCCTGAACCTTAACACCCCTTCATTTTCAGTCCTCATTTCTTCTTTCCCACTCCCTGTAACTGGTTCCACTTCAATCTCCCTGTTATGTCGGGTCCGACCCAGAATTGGGTCGATCTCAAGTTTGGGTGAAGACCCTCCGCCTCTCCGTTCGAGACCCTTCTCCAAATCAAATCTAGCACTCTCATTCTTCTCCCCAACAATATTGGTTGTTTCCCCAGAAAACGAAGAGACAAAACCAGTCCTCTTGGCCCAAGATCTTAGGTCCCTCGGATTGTGATCAGCTCTGGGCACAAACCGATCGACCATTGGCGCATTTGAGACCATCGAACCAAGCTTGACGCCACGTTTTCCCGTCTCTACTTTGTCCATTGCAGTCGACCCAGATTCCATCTGAGTTCTTGCTAAAATGGGTTCCCCTTTTTTTCAAAAAATGTAATCACAAAACCCCCAGAGTTGAAGCTCGGTATCCCAATCACCATTTACTCCTCATCATAACAAACTGAAAACAATGAACAGTTTCCAAAAGAAAGAGTAGAAGCAAAGGAAGATAAGGACTAATGTGGGGGATGGGAAAAAAGGTTATAGAAGGTAAGTGACATTATTGTGATATGAATTTCTAGAACGGCAAAGAGAGTGAGTGTAGAGAGAAAGGGAAGTTAGTGAGGTCCAAACCTTTAGCTTGAGGCATCTTTTATCCACTTGAATGGATTTGCGTTGTGATTAAATTGGATTACCGCCCAAAAGTTGCTATCAATGGATTGGAGTTGGATCCTTGGGCCACTTAGAAATTACTAGACGTTCTTTCAAGTGTGAAAGCGAAGAACAGTTGGTTCCTTTTTCTTCGTCCTTTAGAACAGAACCATTTTGTTTAAATCTGAGTTTGAAGTCCTTGAGTGGTGTTACTTTTGATGGGTGTGGTGGAGGAGTCTTGCAATTCAAGTTTCTCCAAAGCTCCTCCCATTAACAAACTTGCTTGGTAGTGAATTTACTTTAATTGTTTTTTTTTATTTAAAAAAAAGGTCAATTTTTAAGAGTTTTTATATAAAATTAGTTATACAAATAAACTAGAATAAATTTTCAAGGAAAAAAAGAATATAAACTTTTCGGTTATAATACGGGATGAATTGAACAAGCGTCCGAGGCTAAAAATCTCTACAAATAAGAATCCTACAAATAAGAATGCAATCTATCACAAGAACACTACAATGAACCAATCATCATTGAAGATTCTAATGTTCGGCTCTACTGAGCTTATATGAGGTCACGTAGTCTTTTCACCTCCTAAATTTATCTCAAAGCCTCTCTTTGGGTAGTATAAAGGTCCACACCATTGTCTTTTCTCTTTATAAAATGGATTGAACCAAATGATATTCCTTTAAAAAAATATGAAAAATGGGAGAGAAACATTCATAAAATTTTAACATCTTCCTTCCGCCATGAATAAAAAAATGTTGATTATAAATTAATTCTTTCACCTCCCATTTTCAATTATCTATTTATACTTTTTATTTTTATTTTTTGAAGTGTTAAGATCTTATATCTAAATATTTTGGGATTTTAGGTTTAGAATAATATTTGAGTAATAGGCCCAGAAGTTAAAATGAGAAAGAAGCATTTTAAAATAACCAAAATTGATCTTATATCTAATAAATATAATATTGCATATTTATTATTGTTTTATATTTCTGAATTGTAAATATTTGTAGAAGTTTAAATTTGTATTAAAACTTAAAAAGTCAAAGAATAGTTTTCTATATATATATTTCTAAACCTATAAAAATGACATCTTATAAACAGATATATATATATGTATATATATATATATAAAGAAAAAGAAAGAAGTAATACAGTGAAAATTCTGAACTGATGAAGGTTCGAACACAAACACGCAAGGAGCGAGGTGGAGCGTATTACTAATAATACTAAAGAGTAATTTATTCAGAAGTTCAGGGCGAGCTGCAGCCGCCCAAGGCCCTAGTAGCTCCGCCTCTGTTAAGGCCTTAAATAAGAGAGAAGGAAAGGAAGCTATAAAAAAAAAAAAGAGTACCACAACAACCATATAATGCAATATACACTTGTGTTTTTCTTTTGCCTCGGAAAGCACATAAATAAATGTATGTTTATATATATAAGCGGCCCTTTTTTTTTCATCCCTGTACTTTTTGACAAAAAGAAGAGCCTTTCAAGGTTGCATATAAACACAGGCACAGTCTTAGAAGAAACGGACACTCACTTGTGTCAACATTATATCAGAGAAGCCTTTGACACAATTGCATTACGCATCATTTTGTATAACTTGTAACGCAAACAACCAACTTTTCTTCACTTCAATTCATCACGCTTCACTCCAAAATCAGCTCCCTGTGACGACTCATGTCGTCCAGGTAGTTTGAATTACATGAGTAATCTTCCATGTTGTTGGCTTCCGAAACGCACGATTGATCCTCATCCATCGCGTTCTGTTTTAATTGTTCTAATGCTCCTTCTCCCTTTAGCAGCTGCACTACCTACCCTCCCACAACCCTCAAGTCAGCTAGTGGAAAAGTCGCAACATAAATGGAGGATATCAATCAGATGCTCCCTTACCGAGTTCATATGTGGCCGCATCGACGATGAATGGTTTATGCACATCGAAGCTGCTAACATGGTTCGTCTCATTTCAGTTTGATCGTAGTCGTCTCCTAACTTTGGATCCATTAATTCCTGGAAGCTATTGTTATCAAGTAAAGGCTTTGCCTGCAAAAACAAAACAAAAACTTTCTTCTAAGTACGCAAGGAATCATTTAAGACCAACTTCAGATACTAGATAGAGATGCTATAAGGATATCACTGAATCATTCATACCCAAATCACTAGGCTTTGTTGGCTTGAATCAACTGCACGGCGCCCAGTTATGAGCTCAAGCAACAAAACCCCATAAGCGAAAACATCCGTCTTCTCATCAACGATTCCATGCATGAAGTACTCTGGAGCCAAATATCTGAGGGAGGCAATTTAAAGATGCATTAGGTTAGGGGCTGCCTGATAATAGGTCTTGATATAATTTTTTAAACCAAATCGAACCACTGAGTCGCATAACTTACCCAAACGTACCCTCGATGGGGTAGACGACATGGTGAGCCCAATTTTCAGGCAGCCACTTCGCTAATCCAAAATCAGAGATCTGCAAGGAAAGAAGAACCATTTTCATTATTATAGGAAGAGAAGTGTCTGAAACTTCATGCTTTAGACAAAGGCGTTACCAGTGGCTCATAGTTTTCACCGAGCAAAATGTTAGAGGCTTTGATATCTCTGTGAATGATGCGCCTTGGACATTCACGATGGAGATAGTTCAGCCCGTCTGCTACGCCAATAGCCACCTTAAATCTTATCTTCCAATCCAGAGATTCCGCACCTGATTGAAAGTATATATCCATGATTGAAAGTAAGACGGCCTAGTTTGTTTGTTCATTCAAATTAATTCTAACAACACAACACTTTCGTAACGTAGATGTGGGAGAGTGACGAACCGAAAAGGGCAGAGGCAAAGCTGCCAAAAGGGATGTATTCGAGGACAAGGTAGAGACCACCATCAATTCCAAAACCAAGCAACCGTGCAGCGTTGGGGTGGCTAATATGAGCGATAATTCCAAGCTCCGTTAAGAAATCAGAAGCTTTTTCCTCGTTGTCCTTCTCCCTTTTCATAAGTCTCTTAACCGCCACAAATTGGCCATCGGATAGACAACCTCTGTAAACCTCTGCTTGCCCTCCTTTTCCAAGCAGGTTTTCTGAAACAGTGAACCAACCATAGAATTACAATTTTGGAACCATAAAGACAAACTAAACAAAATGTAAATTAGATTTTATATTTTAGAAACATATTCTAAATCTATTCATAACATAGAAGTTGGAATCTCCGGATCCAAAATGTTGTTTTTATTGAAAAAGAATCGACCAAATTTGTGATTTACCTGGGCTGAAATTGTTGGTAGCAGTGGCCAGCTCCGAGAAGCCATAAATTCTCCAAGAAGGTTTGCAGAAGGGAACATCCTCGATACTGATTCCCTCATCAGTGCTGCGAATACGAGCAAATCTTTTGCTGAAATTCTTCTTCGAAATATCGTAGCTCATAGCCAGTAATGGAATTGTCGACAATCTCCAAGCCGATTTCTTTTTTATCAACCCGATCATCGCCTTCCATGGAATTCCACCGCTCTCTTGGAGAAGAACCGATGGCAACAGCGAGTTCTCCGCCGGCGGCAACATCGAGTTTACCGCCACCGTCAGGCTCCCTCCGTCGCCCCCGCTGCTGCTCACGCTTTGGTCCGAATCCGTCCCCACAACTGGAATCTCAAACACACCCCTTGGCGAGTTTTCTTCGCATAGATCTTCCTCCTCGCCAATGATTTTGAGCCCCCCGTATCCTTCCATTTCTTCCATTTGCTTTATTCCTTTTCGAGCATTCCCTGAGTTTGATGCATCGATTCAAAATTTCATTTCCATTCAAGTCGTCTCGAGCTTAACTAAAAAGAAAAATAATAACAGAATTTACCAAATTCCATTTCCATTTCCACTTTCATTTTTAGAATTTGATCAATGTTTAATCTCCTGCATTAATACAAGAAAAGAAAAATAATAACAAAAATGATGATGAATGATATAAGAAAACATCAAAAGAAATGAATACCTAATGTGGTCCAATCCCAGAAAATCGGTAGAGAATAGATTCAAAAAACAAAAGCAAAAGCAAAAACAAAAATCAGGTTTGTGGCAACAACAATGCAAAAGGAATGAAATAGGACATACCTTGGGCAGTGGGAGTTGTGAATGAGAGGCGAAAACGGAAGAACAAGAAGAGATGAATCCCCTCCCCTGGAGAAAAGAAGAAAAAAAATGAGAGGCGAGAGAATGAAAGGAAAAGGGGAAGGAATCTCAGTCACATTCGAGGGAGCAGAAGCGGAAGCTCCCGCGGGCGGAACAAAAGGAAAGATGAAAAAATATGGAAGGAGGAAGAAGGGGTGTTGGGTATATGTTTAGGAGGTCGTTATTGTTTGAGGAGCAGAGGAAGCGATGAAAGCCAAGTTGTAATTGGAAGATGAATGGGAATTTAGTAATCCCCTTATTTATATACTCCCTCTCCCTTTTTGCATTAGCTTCCATTGGATCACAACTTCTTCTCTCGCTCTTTCTCTCCTTCTCAAGCCCTTCATTTTTTTTACCTTCCACGATTTTACTCTCATCCTAATTTTGTCAATTTATCATCATTTTAACTAACATTATTTCTCACATCAACCAATTTTATTTTGTACACCTAAAAAATTATTCAACTTCCCTCCCAAATTACGAGTACCATATTTATTATTAGAATTTTGTGCAAACCACATCCTGCACCAACCAAACCAGCTCGATCCATTGCAAACCGGACAGGGAGTTTCTAAAGATCTACATCATGCGATCCTCTAATGTTTTACCTTTGCAGCTTCACGAAGCTTTCGAAATTTGGTGCTTGCTTTAAGCTTAGTTAAGGCACTACTGAGTGCTCCAACAGGAGTAGCAGGGCATAGCGGTTGGCAATGAGACTTGGTTGTTGTCGTTGAGAATAATGATCATGTTCTTATCCATATAGCCTGCATTATTCATCGCCTCGTACGCTTGACCTGCTGTCATAGCTCTATCACCAATCACAGAAATGACACTGTTCTTCTTTCCCAAAAGCTCTCTTGCAACAGCCATACCAAGAGCAGCTGATATGCTTGTAGAACTGTGTCCTGCACCAAAAGCATCATGAACACTCTCATCCCTTTTGGGAAAACCAGCAAGCCCTGAGGTTTGCCTTAAGAGTATGCATTCTAGACCTTCTTCCAGTGAGAATTTTGTGAGGATATGCCTGCAAAAAAAGACCACCCAAATCAACTCTAACTCACTCTATTTATTTTCTTTATTTTTATTTTTATTATGTTTGTATGAATTTTTTTTTCTTTCTTTTTCTTTTCATTATGTTTGTATGACTGCTTTGAATCACCTCATGCCCATCTCCTGCTTTCTTTTAATTTTTGTTATTGGTTTGTTATTGGTTTGTTATTTGATTGATTTTTCATTTTGAATCTGGGCTGATTCTCCTTCTTGGAGATATAATATATGCATTTCCAATTTCCATATATTGTGTGGGTGTTTTTTTTTTGTTTTACTACACACAAACATGTGCAACATATCACTTAACACTTAACGTATCACATAAGAGGGCAATACTAAAGGAAATTTACAAATATAATTGGTTCATTCTTCTCTGATCTTTATATCCTCTCTCCAATTTTTAGTTATTCAATATTTTTTTTTATCCTTTTTCAATTTTTAATTATCTTTTTAATCATTTTTTTTATATTCTAAAACATCATATTAATCTAAATCATTCGCTACTCATAAATAGTTTTAATATATATCTTTAAAAAAAAAATCTTAATCCAACTTTAAACTCTAAAAATCCATCAAGTTGCATAAGTGGGTCATACAAGTGTGTCCTAAAAGTGTGGCTTTAAGTTGCATAAGAGGGTCATAAAAGTGTGGCTTTGTTATATTTATGAGCGTGCTTGCCATATCTGGGTACGTTTATATCAAATCTTGCCTTGCTTATTGTAGAAGTATCAGAATTTTCTTGAAGAAAATACAAGAAAGTGCTTGCCGGATCTTGGTACGTTTGTATCAAGAAAGTGCTTGCAGAATCTTGATACGTTTTTGTTTCTTCAAGTATTCGCGAGAATCCTTTATCATGCAAAGGAATTTCAAGGATAAAGACCAAATGCATAGACGTTACCAAAATCAGGTATATCAAAACCCTGTATACTTCATAAGTAAGAGTCATTCAAATTTATAAAATGAGACCCAGTATACATTATAAGGAAGAGTCATTTAAATTTATGAAATGAGACTATACAAATGAACCTCAGATTCTTTAACGGCACGAAAATATTCCATCTCTTCCTTCTTAGTAAGAGTACGGTAACCGTCTCTATAAAATTCATCATCTGATTCTATCTCTTCCTCCGAAGGGTGAGATGAAGAAACCATCAAATCGGCTGCTACAAGATAGAAACTCTTCTTATATTTCCAAATCTTTGTTTCTATTTTTATCAACGTTGTTAATAAGATTTGAAGAGATCCAGAATCATTAAGGAACCACAAAATATATGGAAATTGGAAATATATAAAACAAAATGATTAAGATTTTATTGTTAAAAATATATAAGAGAAAAAATCAATGTACATATATTTTGATTAATAGAGTGAGAGAGGGATACCAAATAGCCAAACTGTAGAGAACAGTCATACAAACATGATTAGAAAAAAGTTACCAAACAGCCTAGAGCAAAGGCAGAGAAGAGATGCAAGAAATCTGGAATGGAGAGAAGAAAGAGGATGATACCAAGTCGCCGAGAGCAAACGCAGAGAAGAGAGACGAAATGTGGAATCTGTAGAGAAAAAGAAGATGATGAGTTTTGAAGCCCTAAAAATAGCCTTGGGCCGGAAGAGGGTGAGTTTTGAAGCCCTACAAATAGGCCGGTATTGATGGGCTAAAAAACATATTGGGCCGATGTAACTTTAAAAAAATAGGTTTGGGCCGTCTATCTTTTATCTATTTATTTATTAAATCTTTTCATAAACATATATTAGAAAAATAACCATCTGCTGGGGAGAGCAAAGAACTTACCTAACCCTTATTTTCTCGAGTGTTCTTGATCCTTGGAAGGAGGTGTTTTCCAAACACTCAGATCTCAAAAACCAGCGGTGGTATGGTGTTTTCCGGCGAACAGTTCTTTGCTCTCGCACCCAACTCTCTTGTTTTGGTGATCTGCGCTCCTAAAGGGTCATTTCAAAATAATTCATAAAAACGTTCAGTTTCTAGTATTTCTTAAAATATTCAAATCACTAGGTAAAAGTAAGGCACTCATGTACGGATGACGACATCATGGTGACGTAAAACTAAAGCACCCATGTATGAATGATGGCATCACGATGACGGCCATAAGATCAAAGCTAGGGTAGATGCGTTCACGTTATTCTTCTTCCATAACCCTTAGTTTAGACCAGGACATTTAAATTCATGTTTATTTATTTTCTCACACATTGTTTTAGGGTTTAGGGTTTAGGGTTTAGGATATAAGTCCATGGTTTCGTTATGAATATTTTAAATGATTTTTTCACGCATATGTAATATCTGTCCTAACGATCTTGACTTTAATAAAAATTTAGGATCATTGCAAAAGATGTGAATTCTTTTCTTCAACACAACCTATCAAATAAACAAGAGTGAAATAATACTGTTCATCAAATTAGGATCCAATTAGTAGCTAATTTTGATAAAAAAAATATAATAAAATATTGGATAAAGAGAATTAGTGGAGGATAAAAATATTGAATAATTTAGAATTTGAAAGGATAAGGTGAGAAATTACCAAAAATTTATATATATATATATATTTAAGATTATTGTATCCAATAATAAAATCAATACATAAGAAAACTATATAACATAGAAATTCAATGATCAAACTAATACATTTACGAAATTTAATGTAATATGTTATACAATATACAGATTGTATGATTCACCACCACAATGTTTACAACTTTAAAATTAGTTCTACAACTAGACAAGATAAAGAAACCTTATAAAAATACGCACACACATATAAATAAAAGAAGATTTTTAAATATTAAACAAAAAGACGAAATGCCATTCCTTATTAGACAAACATTTTAGTTTAGTTCCTAATCAAGTTAATTTTCATCAACTATTCTATAAATTTATAAATTTTTACTTTTAAATGTTTATTAAAGATCATAGAATTTTAACCTTTTTTATTTAAAAAAAGATATATGTTTAAAACAAATTAGGACGTTGATTATGACATGTGGTTGCAAATTAAATTACATACTTTAATGGACAATGTAAAAATCTTATTATATTGGGTTAGAACCTTATACGATCTTTAAAGTAACCTTATTTATTTAATTATTTTGATTTGCCTTTCAACCCTTCAAAAACATATATTAAAGGCACATCATTACAACCAAAATATATTAATAAAATAATAAATTGCTCTCAACCATCAACATAAAATAATGTAAGATGATTAAATAAAATGTGAAGAGCGTTCATAAATGAATATCAATAAGAAAGAGAAAACCATAAATAGAACAACACAATTAAATGAGTAATAAATGATTTAACATACAATAATTTTTCAACTTATTTTCCATTTAATAAATGGAGAAAGAAATAAGGGAGGAAACAATCATATTATAATTAATATTAATATGATTACATCAATTATCTGACTAATCTCAATATTATAATTAAACCAATCATATTAGCCTAATTGGAGTTAGATTAAGAAGTCAATCTCTGTAGACAAATTTATTAAGGGAGGAAACAAAATGTCCTTAACAAGACTAAGCACATCAAAAATGAAAATTAAGGATAAATATTCGGAAAGTACACTGAATTAAGACAAACTGAACGAGAGAATAACATTAACCTTCATTTTTTCTACTCTTTTTTGGATTTTGAGAGAGCTTTTGACCTCTGAACAAGCATGTAGCGGTACATATGTGGACTTCCTGCAGGACACCGTTTCTGTATTACCAAAAGGAGCAAATAGAAAATCATAAGCAAAAGAAAAGCAGCAAGAACTTCAACAACTCGAACCTGGCACGTAGATTGCAAGAATAAGCATCGCTCCATAGAGGTAATCGAAAGAAAAGTTCCATTTGTTTGGCATTCTAAAAGAATACTTCCCTGATTCCTGAAAGCAACTCATTACGATCATTTACTGCAGTTTGAAATGACATGATGACAAACTTCCTAATGGAACTACGTGTGATCGCTATACTTCGACGCAGCATGCCCAAGATCGGTTTGGGATTGAATTCGTAAGAGTGAATCATGTGTACCACATGACATTGGATTTCTTACCTTCATGAAAGGAAGAGCCAGATAGACCAGACCAACTTCACTAGTGATGCCTGTTACATACAGCAAGAGGAATGTGCTATACCTACATGATATGATTGAGAACAGTTTTAATATCACAGATGCAGGGAACACCGACCAATTGTACTCCACTCCACTACATAAGGAGAGCCAGTACCTTAGCCATAGGAGCAATGAAGGTGCAAAACCAAACGCCTCCTTCATGCCATAAAATGAATACCGGATAATCTGCAGTCAAAGATTGGTAAAAACTGTCAACTAAGAGAATCTTCCATCTTCTCCCTTTAACTGTACCATTCAACTATTGGGGGGTAAGACGAAGAAACCAAACATAGAACTTATCCACAACAGATTGCATATCAACCTAAAGTCAGTAATAGTTTATTCGTCTCCATGGTAAATCTTGAAAACTGTATGCATTGATAGATTTTGGAACTTTTTTCCATAACTTAGGGCTGGTTTGTAATGAATTTCAAAGTATCTAACTCTTTCTATAAATACTTCTACAAGAACACTAGAGTATGTTTTAGAGTGATTTTGACGTAGTTAAAATCACTTTTGTCGCACTTAAAATCACTCTGAAACATGTTTTTAATTACTCAAAATCAATTTTTACAGTATGAAAATTGTAAAATCAAACATTAAGTTGATTTAGAATGAATGATTAAAGCATGTTCTGGAGTAAGTTTGAACATGATGAAAGTAATCCTAACCATTTCAAAACTCCCAAGGCATGTTTAAGAGTAATTTTGGAATGGCAAAATCACTTTTTAGTGCCTAAAATAACTAAATAGGATGACAGAAGTGATTTTTTTTACCATGTCAAAGTCACTCCTAAACAAGACTTGATTAGAATTAAGTAACCAAATTTTCACACTTTTACAAATCATGTCAAACTCAGTCTAGATCTACTAATTTGAATGAGGGAGTGGTCAATGTACCTAATTCCTAAAAAACAGAAGCCCATTACAAAGCATCATCAACCATCGGAGTTACACATAAAGCCGATAGTCATAGATTCATTATAAAAAGAATCTTGGATCATCTCTTGTGGTTTGTTAAAGGTTATAATCAATAACTAAAGTGAGTAAATTAAGTTTGTAATTAAGGTTTCCAGTCAAAAAAAGAACTTGCCTCTGTGATAGACCAGCTGATGACCAAGGAGGAAACAAGTACATGATTCCTAACCTGCCAGACCCAAGAAGTAATCAGTTTTATGAATTAAAATTACAAACATAAACACTAATTTATGGCTAATTGAATGAAAAAGAAGGGTTTCAACCTCAGGGAAACTCCATAAGATGCCCCAAGTCAAATACAATCTAGAACCTATCTGTGGTAACGTTGCTGTTACAGGGGATCTCACAAGCCCTAATTAGGCAAAAACCAAAACCCACGATTCAGCTTCGTTTCTAAGCTACAATCAGGGCAAGAAAGAAAATCTTCGACACCAAAACTTGTTAGCGGATCAAATATAGCTTACCAACGAGGCCATGGAGAATCTGCGAAGTAGAAAAATGCGAGAAATCATTAGAAAAGACTTCATATTAGGCTGTATCATGATAATCAGCTCATAAACCAGAAACGATCAGGGAATACCTCTAAAACAGCTGCAGTTTGAGCAAACTGAAGAGGACGTTCCACGGCATTATATACCTGTTGGTGACCAGATTCCTTCAATTGCTTGACTGAGAAATAGAACACCTGAACCCTTCAACACCCAAGCAAAATTTTAGAAAGAAAAAGAAATATCAAAAAGTAAGTGATTGAGAAGGGGAAGAACTTACCATCCGACGAAGAGAGTCCAATTGTAGATGGAGAGGTACAGGCGCCGAATAGTTGCCAAAAATCCGGCCATTGATGGAGAAATGGAGAACGATTGAAGATTTGGAGAATCTTAAGAGAAAATGAGTACATAGCATTTATTGAGCCGCTGAACTACTTCAGTGATTGCCGTCTGATCGGATCGTCCACCAACAAAAGATATCTTTCTGATATAATTTTGACAAGTGGTACAAATTATCGCTTTCATCATATGGGCTTCATACTTTTCATATTCTGGGCTTTCATTGGGCTTTTAGGGACTTTTCATATTTAATGGGGTTTTTCATATTTTTAATGGGCTGGGCTTTCCATATTCTTGGCATCATATGGTTTTTCATATTCTTAATGGGTAGAAAGAAAATAGAGAGAGGATGTAAACGCAGAGAAGAGGGAGGGGGCAGAGTCAATGAGAGAAGATGGTGAGCCATTAATTGCATTAATTGCTCCATTGATGGCGCTGTATATTTGGGTGGGCCACTTTTTAGTTTCTTTTTTTTCTTTTGCCAAAATCGAAGGCGCCGGCGACCATAGCCAAAGATTCGAAGATGGACATCCGGACATGGAGTGGATAATCTTCCTATTCCATCTGATCCACGCCCCCTCTCTAGTCTGAAGAGGAACAGGCCTCGATCTGGATAATCTTCCTACTTCGGTCATCTGATCCACGCTGGAGTGGATAATCTTCCAATTGCGTTCATCTGATCCACGCCCCCTCCCTATTCTGAAGAGGAACAGGCCTCGATCGGGATAATCTTCCTATTTCGGTCCTCTGATCCACGCCTCACCTCCAGGTAAATGCCGGGAGAAACCGTGAAAGAAGATCTATTTCGGCCGTCTGATCCACGCCCAACCTCCGACGTTCCCAAAAATCAGGGGAAACTGAGAAGGAAGATCTGGAGAATCTTTCTGATACACCCCCCACCTCTCTCAGAATCGTGTCGACGTCTGATGTCTCAACTCTTTTTTGTACAAATAATCTCTCCGTCTCTCAGTTCAGTCCTCGTCCACTCCAACCATTTGCTCCCTGAGACAAACTACAAACTCTCGATCGTGTTTACTCTGGATCAGCTTAGTGTAAATAGTGTTCATTGTTCTCGATATATATTACACGAAATTGGTTGGGTATATATATCATCTAATTATATTTACAAAATGATTTTGATTTAAAAGATCATTTACTACTCGAGTACATTGGTGATAAAAAGTATTATCTACTTGTCTCGAGTTTGGGTTTGAGTACATAGGTGGAAAGTATTAAGATTTATAATATTACTTGTTTTTCGAGTTTTATAATACTACTTGTCTACGGAAATGACTGACCCACTCTCTTTTAAATAAGATATATACAAGGATCTCGTCGAATCGGTTATATTTCAATCAGTTCCAATAAATTACAAAATCTTGCTTACTTTGTATTCTTTTAGTAGCAAAGTAACATGAAACACTCTTAGGTACTTAATCAAACTGGTAAATTCTAATATGAAAATAAATAAATTTCTAAATTTAAGAAAAGGTAATCATATTTTTTTTAAATTCATCTATAATATTTTTAATATATTTATATATTTTTAAAAAAATCATCTCTTATCTTTTTAATATATGTATGTATGAATATAAATATTTGTAATAATGTATTATTGAATTTGAAATACATTTCCGGTTTAAATGTTTTTTTTTTAAATGAATTAAATTACAAACGAGTTTTCTAATTAAAAAAAAATAAAATTTATTCTATAAACTTCATTTTTATAATTTGACAAATTCTTATTAGTAATTTAATACTATTCAAAATATTAGTTTTCCAAATAATTTATTAAATTTTCTTTCGCATTATAATTTTTTTTTAGTTTAGAGGAAATTACAAATAATGTAGGATAAGAATAGATATATAATATTTTTTCTAAAATTTATATAAATTACTTATTTAAGTATACGCTGCTTAAATATTTTCAAAAAGTATTTTAGTGATTGGTTTATATTAATAAGAATATGTGTTTTTTTTTATATAGATTTTTTTTTCTTTTTTCTTTATGGACCCGATGGACTCAGATTATTTTTATAAATTGACCGAATAAATTTTTATTTTTTTGATAATATTTGAGTTATGTTTAACTAGTTCGGACCCTTTGTTAATATATTATTAATGAGATACCATGTAACTATAATTTTAGAATTATCTACTCATTTTAATTTTTATTTAAAATTGGAGGTAACTATAATTTTAGAATTATTTACTCATTTTAATTTTTATTTAAAATTGCAGGATGAATACGTTGATTGGCGTCACATAACATTCTTACCACTGTTCGAAATCAAGAGAGATGTAGTATGTATTATTTATTGTTTCATTATATATTTCTTTTTATATTTATATTAAGATTTATTTTACTATGTTTCTTTTTCTTTGAATTAGATTGCTGTTGGGCCACAGCAGCCGCTGGGCTATTGAATCACTTTATAATATTGGTCAATACAAAAATATACTTCAGGCTGCACCTCAACCTCTTATAGATTGGGTTATCCCAATCCAAAAAATATAGTTCTATAACAATGCTATTCCTATTGAGTAACAAAAGATTTTAAATGGAAAAAATTGCTAATTGATTACAAGTTTAATGCCAAAGACGAAATTGCCAGGAAATCGCAAACAAATCACATAAGTAAGATTTTTTAACTCATTAATTTTTCATTTAATGTATACATAATAATATTATTATTATTATGTTTTTTTTTTTTTTTTTTTTTTTTTTTTTTTTTTTTTTTTGTTAATGGTAGATTTTAATGAAGATTAAAGCCTACCAAAATTCAAAGATCAAGATACAATCGGTGGGATCTAAAATGGTTGATAGTAAAGAAAAATTGTTTTAATAAATAAAATATTATGGTTAAATATTATTATTTCTGTAGTTTTAAGAAGTAACCTATTTTTTTTTAAAGTTTTTAATTGTCATGCTGTTTTTTGATTGTGGGTTATGGAAAATAAAAATATTGGATCATCAAGAATTCGTGGGGAAGAATGGAGAGAGAGGTTATGGGAAGGTAAGTCAAGATTTTGTTAATATTTATTAGATAGATTATTTTATCTTATAATAAAGAACCGAAAGAAGAGATAGAGAAAAATGGTTTAATTTAAAGAAAAATGCATTTTCCAAATCATGTAAATATGAAAGTTTAATTTTGTTTCAATATCATTATGAGTTACATTTTTTTTTGAACGGTATGTTTAAATATAGACCTAAATTCCAATTAAATACAAATAGTTATAGAAGATTTTGAGTAACTCTCTCATTTGCAAGTCCTCACAACCTTCAGAAATAGTAACAAATATAGTGTTTGGTTCTATTACATCTATACATTCAATTCCCTTTCTCCTCTGAGTTAATGGCTAAGTCAAACTTAATAATTTTGATAGGCCTAGGAGTGTACATGGTTCGAGTTGGGAATTGAGTTTAGAGATTTTTTTGATCCAACCCAACAGTTCGGATTGGTTGGATTGATAACCCAACTCAACTCAAAATTTTTCACAACCCGACCCAACCCAACCCTCTATTTTTCGAATTGGGTTCGAGTTGGGTTGTTAATTTTTTTAAAAAAAAATTATTTATCCACAATTTATAATTATTTCGATATAATGTTATATAAATTATATTAAAAATTCACAAACAAACACAAATCAAAACATAATTATTAAAAAAACAAACAAACAAATTCAATAAAAAAATAACGAACAAAAATTGTAACATATTAACCTAGTTCAAGTGAAAATTGTGACATACTCAGATATTTCATATTACTTAATAAGGTTTTTCGTATTGGGTGAAAATTGTGACATAGATATTTCTAACCTGTCATATTACTTAATAAGGTTTTTCGTATTGCGGGGCTTTTGATATTGTTTTTAAATTGTGGGCTTTTTATCTTTTTCATATTACTGAGGCTTTTCATATTGCTTTTTCATATTGGTATGAGTTTTTCACATTCGGTTTATAGGGCTTTTAGCATTCGGTTTAATAGGGACTTTTCATGCTATCATTTTTCATATTCTTAATGGCCTTTATATATGGGCTTTTCATATTCTTAAGGGCTTTCACATGTCTTTTCATATTCTTAATGGGCTTTATAGGAACTTTTTCATATTTTTAATGGGCTTTTATGGGCTTTTCATATTCTTAATGGGCTTTTCATATTCTTAATGGGCTTTTGCAGATTTTTGGCGGATACAGGAATAAAAAGAGAGAAAAATATTCCTATAAAAATAGAGTTACAAAAAGAGACAAATTAGAGAGGGGAGTCGTACAAACATAATAATAATAAAAATAAAAAAGGTTAATAACCGCCAAATTAGAGAAACCAATAAAAATGAAAATAAAAAAAATTAAAGTTAAAATTAAAAAAGTTAAGAAATATGAATGCTAGTATTAAGATTAGCTCTAGAATGTTTTTTTTAATCTTGGTGGGTAATGCAATCATTTACTAATTAATTTTTTTCAGCACAAATAGTCATATTAACTGAGATCAAGAAGTTGCAGATATGATTACTGTTTTTTTTCAGTGCAATAAATTTACATAGTGTCTATCTCTCGTTGATAAAGGGGTATTTCCATGGGTTTGCCTTCGTATTGTGTTCATACGGTTGTATTGAATGATCCCGGTCGTTTGCTTGTTCATAGAGCTGCTGGATGGGCTGGTTCAATGACCCTATACGAATTAGCAGTTTTTGATCCTCTGTCCGGTTCTTGATTCAATGTTTTATTACCTATCTATTTACATATTTAGATTAAGATTTATTTTGCATTTTAATAATTAAAATTATGTGAATATATAATTATATCGATATATATAATTATCTAGACATATCGATGGATGTCGATAAAATCGATAAATACTCTTATGATAATTCCATTTAGATAAATTGATAAAGTAAGGGCTCAAAAGAGATATTATCTCCTATCCTATTATATAAATAATACCAAAGATTCTCATCCTACTATATAAATAATACCAATATATTAAGGATGGTTAAAAATATATATTTCTAAATAAAAAAAATATAGTACCTCTTTCATTTTATTTCATCTCAAAATACTTGTCATTTTATTTCCAGGGCCTGGCCTGGTCAGTACTTGTATTTTATTCTTTTATTACCCATTTATTTTTATATTTACATTAGGATTTATTTTACATTTTAATAATTATTTTTTTTTCTTTTTAGACTGTTGGTGGGCTATAGTAGCTGCTGGGGCTATTGAATCACTCTACAATATTGTTTACAAGGGTGAATACAAAAATATCCTCCAAGCTTCACCCCAACATCTTATAGATTGTCTTAATCTTAATCCAAAAAATATAGCTCCAAAGGAATGTTATACCTCATCACCAAGAAAAGCTTTTCAGTGGATCATATCTAACCAAGGAATTGCTAAGGAAAAAGATTACAAATTTAATGCTCAAAGGAGGAAATTGCAAAAAAATCACCACAAAGATTTCTTTTAAAACTCATTAATTTAATATTTTTTTTCATTTATTTTTTCATATGGTATAACTGATGATGTATTTTATTAATTGTAGCAATTGATCAAGATTAAAGAATATGAGAAGGTAAATATTGAAAACCTATCTTCAAAAATAGAGGATCAACGCATAACGGGTGGTATAAGAG